TGATTGGCTAGGCTGGGTCACATGCTTATCTCTGGGCTGGGCCCACAGGAGGGAATGATCTGATTGGCTAGTCTGGGTCACATGGTCCCCTGCTGTCTCTGTGCCTGGGTGGGGGGGGGTCAGCCCAATTAGAGACATGGATGTTTTGGGGATGGACAGACATTTCTCACCAGGAAGGTGAGGCACTGCTGTCCAGAGATGGGGTGGAGACTGAGCAGGGCATGTCATGTGTCCCCTGCCGAGAGTCTGTGGACCCTGTGTTTCCGAGGGCCGGGTAGTGGCCCAGAGGGGACCTGGTGGCCACGCTGCCTGGGTCCACACTCTGTGCTGCGTTTAGCGCTTGCCTGGTCTGCCGGTCACTCCACATCTGCATTTCTCAGCCACAGCAACAGGAATGGCTGGTGACGGTACCTCCAGGTGTCATGGAGGCTAAATGAGCTCATTTCAGGGTGCTGGGGTCAGTGCCTGACACAGCCTGTGGCACTGGCGTCCCCTCGCTTGTGCGGGGCCCAGCTGGTTCTCAGTCCTGCTGGACGGGGACAGCCGTTCTCTCCCTGCTCAGAGAGGCCGAGAAACCCGTCCCAGGTCACAGGCTGGAGACAGAGAAGCGGAGACGGGAACCCACCCCGCCTGACCTCTGGGCCCCTGAGCACCTGGCGATCCCGGTGCAAAGCCCAGGACGCCATGGTGACGGCATGCACCTCCCCCTCCCTCCGGTCCCTTGACCCTCAAGGGCGCACTTGTCATCTTGCGCCTGGGAACTCCAGGCTTCCAGGACGGCCTGGGCTGGCGCATCGGGGACAGCGCTTACCCAAGCTGAATTCACAGACTCGCGTCTGGAGGGACGGTCCCCGTGCCCACCCTGCGGACGTCCAGCAGACCTGGGGAAGACAGCCGACGTCACCAACGCACAACACGGCGATTGACCCCCACAGGGCAGAGGACGTTTGTAGCCGGCGAGGAGGATCTGGACCTTTGTGCCCACAGGCTTGCACCGTGACGGTGACCTCGATTTTACAGAGAGGTAAAAATGAAGAGAAAAAAAAACTCGGCGACCTTGAGTGAAAATCAGGTCGGTGGCGTCGTCGAGGGGCTGTCTCGGGAGAGATTCCGTCTCTGAGCCCCTTCTGCTCGCTGGACGCTTGGTGAGAACCTGGGCAACCTTGTCCAAAGGGACGAACGAGGCGGTGACTTGGAGCTGGGACGTGTGCAGTGTCAGCTGTCATCCCGAACCCCGGATGCCAGGCTGGATGTCAGGTGGACCATGGACATGGTGGCCCTTCCCAAGGAGTCCCTTGTCACCCTGCTGCTACCGTCCCCTCTTCTCTCTGAGGTCCCGGGGAAAGGCATTTGGAGCAAGTGTCCATCCCTTGCCAGGGATGTCATAAAAACATCCGTCAAACCGCCTCGCTATGGAAATGACACACCGTGAGTCACTCCTATGCCCGGCCATCCATAACGGGAATCAGCCTGGATGGCCCTGTATTTCTTCTCACTCCCCCAAGGGTAATAAACTGACAATTTAAGGCTCTACATTAAGACTCCTGTCAGCAGCAGGCCCTGAGCGGCCGGGCGACGCCTCGGGCTGGGAATCCCTGGTGTCACTCACACGGATCCCATTCAAGTCCAGACCAAGCACCACTTTGGGACAGCTTGGTCCTCTCTGGAAGGTTCCAGGCCTGACACGCGATTGATTCCTCGAGGGCTGAGGAGCAGCTGCCGCCATGTTGACTAAAGCTGTGGGGCTCTGCACGAGGAAGTCACAGAGCTGGGTGACATGTCCCCAGGGAGCCCTCCTGGATTTCCTCCTGTCCTCCTGCTCCCCAGCGAATGCCTTTCTGTGAAGGAGCAGCGGGGCTCAGTGGTGAGGGGTTTGGGGTCTGGAGTTGACATCACACCGACCCCACAGGACAAGGCAGTTCCCTTCTGCGAGCCCCCAAGGGTCTTTACAAAAGGTGGCACCTTTCCCCTGGAGGTGTGGCACAGGACGCACGGTGCCCAGGAAGTAGCAGATGGACCTGTCCACGGCCAAACCACCCAGGCTGAGCTAATGCCTGGTCCAACCCGCTGAGTCCCCAGGCCGTGCTGTCTTTGTCCCCATCTCCGTCTGGAGAAGCACCGTCCCTCGCCCATCTGAGGGAGGAGGGGACACCATCCACAAAATGGCTGAAACCTGAGTCCCCATCCTGTGACTCTGGGGACCACAGGACGTGTGGCCGAGACCGTCAGCTGGGGAGGAGCGGCTGTCACAAGTCACCAGGCCTCTGTCACCTCCTGGCTCCAGGCCGAGTCCTTGGCTGGGCAGCCGGGCCCTGCACGGGGCCTCCCTCAGCTGAGGTCATCTCCCACGATGGCCGCCCGCTGCCACCTGCCTGGACCTTCTGTGCTTTCCACTCCTCTCCTCTGCGCCATCTCCTTCTGGGAGAGGGTCACCCTGATTCTTATCTTGTCCCCCTAAAGCCCAACCTCCCCCAGCAATCAGATCACGTCACAATGGCTTCCCTAAGCCACCCTTGTGCCGTCCACGTGGTCTGCCTGGACCCTCCTCTCCTCTTGTGCAGCCTTCTGGGAACAATGTCCATCTTTCTGTCCCCCGGGTCTGCGCCAGACCTGTTTTGTGTTGGGTATTTTCCAGATGGGGTCTTGCAGAGGCTGGCTTTGAACCGGGATCCTCCTGAGTGGCTGGGATTACAGGCGTGAGGCACCGGCTCCTTTACGTCCTCAGTGCGTCTCCTTGGTGAGGCCCTTCTCACAGGAGGCTTTGCCCGCAGGGCCGCCGTCCTCCCACCTCCTGGCCATGCCCGGAGTTTCCTGCTGGGCGACAGCTTGGTGCCCGAGGCCCTGATGGTGACAGTGACCTCCCACAGGCGACGCCATCTTTCCCAGTGTGCCTCAGTCCCTCGCGGTTGCTGTGGACATGAGTTACCACGTCCTGCCGGGCCCTGCACTGTGACCGCCAAGGGACACGCTGTCCTCTGGGGCTCAGAAAGGAGGTTCTGGGTTGTGGCCCCAGCAGCAGGGCGGGGCTGGGTGCCACAGGTGACAATGGCAGGGACCAGGGGCAAGGGCGAGCCTGACAGCTCCACACTCTGGCCAGGCACCTGCTGCTGGCCTGGCTTTTCTGGTCAGGAGGACAGGATGTCAGTGGGGTGCACCTCCCCCCCCCACGAGGGCCAGAAGAGAAAGTGCAGGAAAGTCTAGCGTTGTGTCCCCTTCCGCTGTCATCGGTGTCACTCTGACATCTGCACTGAGCTCCTGGACAGTCCCTGGAAGCCATTCTTTGGAAGGACATGAAATTGTCCCCAGGCGGGGGACACTGTCGTCAGCCGGTCACAGCCTCTGCCTTGACTCGTTTCCTTGTGTAGGTCACTGGGGTCCCTTTCTCACTCGGGGACCCCAGCAGGACCCCAATTTGTGGTCCTTTCTTGCTCTGTCAGCCCCATTTGGGACCAGTGGCCTGGTGACTGGACTTGCCTCGGCCCCCGGCGGCTGTGTGGCTCTGAGCGAGGCACTGGCCTCTCTGAGCCCAGCTGTTCCCTCAGGGTACCCAGGGGTTTGGCGATACGCACGGGTGGACGCGGGGTGAGAAGGAAATGGTGAGGACGTCCGTGGCTCTTAGCCGCGAGAATCTTTAAAAGCTGAGAGCCTAGGACAAGGTCACGTGCAGAACAGCTCGTGTTTAAACGGAAGTTGGCGGGTTTTAATCCTGAACCCCGCCAGTACAAAGCTCCAGCATGGCGGCTTCCTGCTGTCTTCTGAGGCGCCTCCTCCAGGAAGCCTCCGAGATTCTCCTTGTTATTGCGGCACCACGCCCCTGCATCTCTGTGCTCCCCAGAGATTGTCACAGCCTGTCCCTGTGTGTCCCTCACCCAGAGGGGGCAGGGGCGGCTGACTGTTTCTGCAACTGTACACAGATTTGCTGAAGGGACTGGGCGAGCGCCTGGCACCCCAGCACGGTCCTGAGCCCTGTGTCACCGTCCTCGGCCCAAATGCACTTCCGTGTGTCCCGCAGCTGTGTCAATGAGGTGTGGGTACACGAGGGTCCCCCGTAAATGACCCTCTGCCTGTCCCGCGAGGGCTGGGCCGGGAGGGGGACAATCCAGGACGGGGCCTCACGTCCCCTTCTCCACCTGGCCAGCTGCAGCAGAGTGAGGCCAAGTGCGAGGACGCGCTGAAGATGCAGAGGGCGCTGACCGCGGACCTGGAGAACATGCACAGCGAGCTGGACAGTGTGACCCGGAGCAAAAGCCTGGTACATGTCCCCATGGCTGGGACGGGACCTGCAAGTGTTCCCATGGAGTTACAGGCCTCCCTGTGGCCCTACTGTGTGCCACCATGGAGGTGCAGACCGCCCTTCTAGGCCCAGTGGGTCTCGTGATGGAGGCACAGACCCCTGCCGTAGACCTACTGGGTTCTGCCTTGGAGCTGCAGGCTCCCTGACACCCTTTGTAGGCCAAGTAAGTGCCACGTTGGAGGATTCAGGCCTCCCCTGTAGACCTACTGAGTACTTCCTACAAGACACAGGCAACCCTTGTAAGCTTACAGGCCACTAACTGTGGACCCACTGTGTGCTCGGTACTGGGGCGACCCCCATGGGAGCCTGTTGTTTTCTCAGCTCCCCAAGTGGAGCCCCAGGTCGTATGCCCCCCCCCCCACTGTGATCACCACCATAAGAAGGTCCCAAGGATCTGCTGCAATCCTACTGTGCGCTCCCGTCCTGAAGGGAACGGTCGTTAGTGTTGACCACTGTGTCTCTTCCTCTGAGAGAGGACGGCCATCGCCCACAGCGCACTTGGGCTCCCTGCGGGCAGGAGACCGGCCATTGTCACGCACTCCGTGCTCACTGTTGACTGGGCCAGTGACCCGACATG